CTCCTCCCTGGCAGTGAGAGGAGCAGGGCCGCCGGACCGGGGAAGCTGCCACCCGGCCCGGCGGCTCCAGCCAGGAACCCGGCCGGCCCCCAGGTGCCGCGGCCCACCGGGAAATTTCCCGGTATCCCGGTGGGCCAGTCCGGCCTTGGGTGCCACTAACTGTGGCCCCAACTGACTGAGGGGACCATCTTTCGATTCCTTGGATTCCTCAGCATCCATTCGTTGGATGCTAAAAACTAACCCTCTCTTAGCAGGCAGATGAAATTGAAATTTAATTAGACATACTAAATCCTGTCTAAATTCAGTATTAAATATTAGGATATAAATCCTTCACAAACCTTAATACATTCCACATTTTGGAATGTATTAAGCTTTGTGAAGGGTTTGTATGAAGGGAATGTATTACGATTTCCAATAGAGTTGATTATCAACCCTACCAGAGCTGTGACAACTGACATTTAATGTGGATAAGTGCAAGATAATGCATCTTGGGCATTAAAAACCCAAAGGCAGGGGGGCGAGGCCTGACTGTAATGATGACTGGACGTGATTTCTAAGAGCTCCTCTAGTTTTAAAAGTATTAGATCAGGCACTAATACTTTTTTTTTTTATCATGAGCAAGCTAAGTCGTCCTGCATCAACTGACCAACTCGGGGTTGCCTCTCATTAATGTCTGCAGCTCCCTAGGAGAGAATTCTTATCGTCTGTAAGCGAGGCTCAGCGGGTGGTGGGAAAGGGAGAGGCTGCCAATTCCATGGCCCGACATATACTCACCCGACATATACTCACCCGTGATAACATGGAGTTGAAGCACGGATGCCCAACTCTATAGACTGGTGGGGGTGATACCAGACCCCACCACGAGGGCTCCTTACCTTCACAGCAGGCATGCAGCACTGCTATATTCACAGCAGCTATTAACCCAGAAGCACCCAAAATGGCAGAAGCTGCATGTCCCTGACTTAATCTGGAGGAGAGATCCGGAGCACTACATCAGCTTCTGAATTGCCTCTGTGAAGAGTTTTAGCAGGGCTTGCTTTGCCGGTGTCTCCAGCCTGTCCCACGGATCATGATAAATTGATCTTCTGTTCGGAAATATTATTTACAATAAGACCTTAGAGCACAGTGTGTTTACTTTATGTTATCTCTCTTCACATGATGAAATTATTCCAACATGAATGCTTTTCCCTTAAGAATCTATGATGGAATAATTCAGTCATGTGGTATTTTACCAGCAGGGACTGTTTCCTTGCTGGTAACTGGAGATCCCCAGATATCATTAGAAACCTGGGGCTCCCACCCATCAGCTGGAGCAATATTCATTGACCAGAGACTGACCAATGAGCTGTATCTCAGTTTGTTTTAAGGTGACCCCCAGGGTCTGGACATACTGACAGTGTGTCACTGAATGTCCCCACCCAATGCCATTTTGATCTGCAACTTTATGATTTGGTAAATATTTTTTTTAAACTTTTCCTGTCCAAACAAAATTTTCATTTTCGTTTCCAATAAATAATGTGGTATCTATGCATACTGAAATGAAAAATTTAATTAAAGGGACACTATAGTCACCAGAACCACTACAGCTTAATGTAGTGTTTCTGGTGCCTACAGTCTGTCTTTGCAGGCTGAGAATTCTGAACGCTCCCTTTTCAGAGAAAATGCAGTGTTTTCACTGCTGCCTAGGAACACCACTAGAGGTGCTTCCTGGTCCAGCACTGCCGTTCGGTGTCTCCACGCTCTGAATGTTCTTTATGGAGATGCATTGAATTAACATTTTGCCGTGCTTGCGCAATAGCCTCCCAAATGCTTTTACTATGGCTAAAATGTAAAGATTTAATACCTGTTTCCAATTAATTTTATCCATATAACCAAAAATCTGAAGCAATGAAAATTTTTGATAAATTATGCTTAAAAGAGTTTAAGAAATTAAAACCTCGAAATAAGTATCAAAATAACTTAACTATAAAAGAAAAGCAGGCACTGATCTTAAAGAGGATATGTCTATTGTGATAAAACCTGGAAGATATTCAGAAACAATTAGATGTTAACCTCACCTTTTTGAAATTAAATAGTAATCCAATTAATAGTATAAAAGAAGAATATGAAAATTTTCTAAAAGAAGTCTTGGAAACAGGTATTCTAAATAAAAGAGAATATAAGTTTTTAACAATTGAATATCCGAAAATTCCTGTAATCTACGTATTGCCAAAGATACATAAAGATATCTCTAACACATCAGGGAGGCCAATAGTATCTGACATATGATCACTTTTATCGAATTTATCACAATATTTTGATACATTTTTAAAGAATTTAGTAAAACAATGTCCAACCTACCTCAAAGACACAGTGAGTTTACTTAATATTTTAAATAATTTTAAATGGGAAAAAAATATGTTATGGCCACATGTGATGTCAGCAGCCTGTACACAAATATAGCACATGATAGAAGTTGTAGGGCTGCTAGACATTTTTTACAAAAATTTAGCAATCTTGACGAAGCGCAGGTAGATTTTATTCTTAAAGTAATTTAAATTATTTTAAAAAACAATTTCTTTTGGTATGAAAGTCAATATTATTTGCAGATCCAAGTTACAGCGATGGGGACCAGGTTTGCCCTGAGTTATGCCAATCTAGTCATTGGGAGGAACTTTATGTCCTGCCCAACATGAACTCAGGGGCAAACCTGGTCCTTTATAAGCGTTATATAGATGACATTTTTATTGTATGAAAAGGCAATACGAATTCTTTGACTAACTTTCTGGATCAATTCAACTCTAATGATTGGAATATTAAATTGACGTGCAATATCATTACCTTTTTAGATTTAGATGTGTTTATAGAATCAGATAAAATTAAAAGTAAAACCCATTTTAAAAAAGTAGACGTTAACAGTTTTATCGATTTAAAAAGTTGCCATTTTAAACCTTGGCTCATTAACATACCAAAAGGTCAGTTCCTCAGGCTTAGGATGAACTGTACGGACTTTGATGACTATCAGAACCAATCATTCAATTTAGAGAGACAATTTATAGAAAAAGGATATGACCCAATTTTTATTAGAAAGATCAGAGAAGAGATAGATAGTGAAGATAGGGATCAACTTCTGATCTATAAGAATAAAGATGAAATAAAAACTGATTCTATTCCTCTTATTTTTAACTTTAGTACAAATAACAAAGCAGTTTGTAAAAGTATTAAGAAGAATTGGCATATTTTAAAAGAGGATCAAGATATTTTACCATTTATGGGAGATCAGCCCAAATTTATTTTTAGAGGAGTGAAAAACTTTAGGCAGATTTTAACAAATATTTTTGGGATAAGGAAAAAAAGGATACTTATCTTTTAGAGGGACAAAAGGGTTTTTACTATTGTAATGACTGCTCAGGGTGTAGACTGAGAAAAAATTTAAATAGAAGTGTAAAAACATTTACATCAAGTAAAAACTCAGATGAGGAATATAAAATCCACACATTGATTACGTGTAATACAACAGATGTAATATACCTACTAACTTGCCTTTGTGGTTATCAATACGTTGGCAAAACAACCAGGAAACGTAATATTAGGATAGGGGAACATATTAACAATATGAAGAAAAAATTTGTCAATCATAGCGTTTCCAAACATTTTGCAGAACAACATGAAGGAAACCCTGAAGGTTTAATTTTTTTTAGGTATAGAAAAAATTAAAGTTCATTGGAGGGGTGGGTGTAAGGACAAAATTCTTAGTAAAGCAGAAATGAGGTGGATGTTTAACCTCAACACCCTAACCCCGGATGGTTTAAATATAGACTTTGAGGTCACCTCTTTTTTATGATTGCGTGGTTCTTTAACCCCTAAAGGACCCAACTTTTTGGAATAAAAGGGAATCATGACATGTCACACATGTCATGTGTCCTTAAGGGGTTAAAAAAAAATTGTTAAAATTTTGTTTTTGTATATTATATTTATTTATTTATTTTTTACAATGTGTATATATTATATGTGTACTGTTTCATATACATCTGACTAATTTCTTCTTTTTCCCCTCATCTTCCTTTTCTCCCTGCTCTATATTAATTGAGTATATTTTAACACTTTTTTTTAATATATTTGTTCTTTTATATGGAATGAGTTTATTATGTTATTTTAGGATATTTTTTTCTCCTTTTTAATAAATTCAGTAAACACAAAAATATAAAGAAAAAGTTTATTAAGTTTATATATAAATACGGACATTTGTTTATATTTGAGGCGCACATGCACATTAAGAACTTATTTCTGAAGATCACGTACATTTCCAAAACCGGAAACACGTCACCTTATGGAGACAGGCATTGACCGCTGACCCGGAAGTGCTCCCGATGGAAATGACGTATGCAGAAACCGGAAGAAACACAAGGAGGATTAACAACACACCTTTTTAAAAAGTTATTTAAGTCCACATGTATGAAAGCACGCTAAGCACTTTGATAAAGACCTACCTAGGTCGAAACGCGTCAGTGTAATGGACTTTTATCTGAGATTTATTCTTTGCTATACTTTTATATGTACCAATAAAGAGTTTTGTTCCTGAATCCATCCCTCCATCTGAAGTTTTTTCGGGGAGCATAGATTCCATAAGGGACATCTCCACTTGGGTTCAAGCATTGGATCTCCAACAAATTGAGAAAGGCGTTAATAGTCTGAGCCACTCTTTAAACGGCTCAGCACCACGTGAGTGGGTTATTTTTCTCTCATATTATCCATTTGATTTATACAGGCTATACTATGTACTGTCTTTTATATTTTTAGGATGTATACAGCTTCATGGTAAATTGCATGTTTTATTTATTTTATCCACTTACGATGAAGTAGCAGAGTAAAACTAAACTATTTTAATCAGATGGTCTTATAGATACAATGAGATAGGTGCAGTACTGCTTTTTATGTTTGCTTTGGGCTCCCAGTGCTTTTCTATGGGAAAGCATTGGATTGGCTCTGATCATAAAGATTTCAACCGTGAAGGTGGGGCAAGCTACGGCAAGACTGGTGCTACATGGGGAAAAAAGAGGATTGAAAACACCTTTCCTATGCAATCGGAGAGGGGACGGTCATCTAAATAGTTTAACACTATTTTGTCAGGAATAAATATTTCTATCCCTGACAATAGAGTCTCTCTTAAAATATTACTTTCCAGGACACCCAAAATAGTCGTATTTTATTGTGTTTTTTTTCCCACACTGGTAGTGAAAGGATTAAGAGTAGAAACTCAAAGATAGTTCCTGGTGTAACAATATTAGACTTTATTGTGTGTCTGAAACAGTACAAACCACATAACTGAAAATGTAGTCAAGGGTAAGAGGACTGGAAACAAAGCTTTTTGCTATTCCATCAATGAAGAGGACTAGGGATTGACAATCTGAGGTGATTTAGAGAAGGATCTGGTATATTGGTACATATCTGATTGTGGTAGGGTGGAAACTTCAGATATGATTGATTGCTAGAGGAGGAATAGATACACTCTACACATTGACATACATACAGACATATTTTTACCCACAGGTACTCAGGCATACATACATTGTTACACATGTGCACTCACAATGTACACTCAATCTATATGTGTGTGTATATATAAATTTTTTATCATATTTAAACATACATTTTTCATTTTATTAGATTGGAGGGAGCGGAATGGGGGCAGTTGAGAATTCTGTGCCTACTCATGATGTAAATCCAGCCCTGCTACCACATCACTACATGTGTTCTCTGTACAGTCCCTCACTCTCTTAACACCCAATGTTGGGTATCCAGCTTGCATCATATCAAAAAAACAAAATGTATTTGAAGGGACACTATAGGCACCCAAACCACTTCATCCCATTTAGACATTGCAGGGTTAAGTGCCTTTAGTGACTGTCTACCATAAGCCACTCGAGGCTCAAGTTTTCCTCACGCCATACTTCCTGCTTGCTATGAAGGGTAGAAAAGGCCTAGCAACACATTGCATTGCCCTTCTCTCAGGCCTGGATTTCTCGTAAGGCCACTGAGACCATTTCAAGGATCATAAATCTTTACCTGCATAAAGGTAAGCAGGAGAGGGTGAAAAAATTACAACCCACACAAATAATCCCACACAGTCAATCCCACACACATCACACCCAGCCAATTCCCACACACCACATTCCATTAACATATGGAATTCAGCCTGGCATTTAGATCACTTCATCTCATACAAATCTGTATTCCCTCTGGTTCCCCCCCCTCCCCCCACTCACCCAATTCCAGAACTGATCTCACTGGGTCGGCACTCCTCAGACATCACCAGATGGGTGCTGCCCCAAGTGCATTAGGATCTATCCATAGGGAAGCATTCCCTCAATGATTTCTTATGGGGATTTTACTGCCGCTGGATGTCCTCAGGCAGAATGTGAGGACATCCAATGTCATTTAAGAGACTCAGAGTCCAGTAAACCCAGGGAAGCACCTCTAGTGGCTGTCTTTGTTTCTCACAAACTGCAATGTTTTACATTGCAGGACTAAGGGGGACATGGACTCTGCACCAATACCACTTTAATGAGATACTGTTATTGTTGGCTGTATTGCTGATAAGCACAGTGATATATTATTACACTATGTACATGTCTCTGAATTGTATTAATGTGGAGCTTTGTAAAATACACATACTGCAATAAAGTTAAACACTGTACGCTAATGTGAGTTTATTGTTGTGAAGCTCTGTGGTACACTTAAACGCTGTGCATGGCTCTGAATTTAATTTTTGTGTACCTCTATGATATACTCATACACACCACACATTACTGTAAGTTTTATTAAACTGTACAACTATGTCCCCTGTGTGTGGTGCATTCTGGAAATGGACACTAAGCTTGGGGATGGAAAGTGGTGGGGAGCTTTGTTAGGAATCAGTGGCACGTTGCATATCATAGGTGCCATTTGCTGCCCGCCATCATCATATCAGCCTTGAATTTATCCTGGGCTACAAGTAAGTGAACAGGACCAATGGGGCTGGTGAAAATTCGGGTCATCTGATTCCCCTGGCTATAGGTTCATGGATGTCATATACAGCAAGACCGTGTTAAGACCGTGGTGTGAACGATCACACAAGTGGAATTTCAGGAGCATAGGGGTTAATAAGCAACCTGATGACAGGGCTCATTCTGAGTGCATGTTACATATAATAAATCAGTGTGGGGCCATTAAACATTGCCACAGTTAACAGAGTGGAGACACATGTATTAGTTGATACATGGATCTTCCCAGGCACCATTCACTATACATGTGGTGGTTCTCGGCATATTGCTCACAAAAAAATAATATAGTGGATGGTAAAACCCATATACCTATAATATAATATAACACTATTTACATGGGGTGGCTCTCAGCATGTTGCTCACAATAAAATAATATAGTGGATGGTAAAACCTAAATACTGTGGTACTGTAATAATATAATATAACACTGTTTTCATCTTTCCTAGGTTTTCAGTGGTATTTTGCACTATGAGGGACCACTACAAGTTTTGCTGTATTTTAGCTTTTTTGTTTCTTCTGAGCTTTTTTTTACAGCGTAAGGTTATCAAGGTATGTTGCTCTTCTCTTATTGTTTTAATGTGATGAATCTGTTAAACCAACAATGCTACTGAACAGTACTGTAGGAACATGTTAAGGGGAAATAATGCCATAGAGGTTTTCTCTTGATATCATAATAAACCACAGAAGATCAAGTGGAATGTTTCCTGAACCCTGACAGTGCATCATTTTACCTTAATACATGCTTCACCGCATGCTTTATACATGTATCCTTTATATTACATGATCTTTTTTGCTGCTTTAAAATGTTACGGTTAGTGTTATAGTTAACATTAGGGCAGTGTAGAAGGAGGTATTTTAAATATCTTGTGAATCCCAAAATCATATTATGTTCCCTTAATGACAATATACCACATGTGGTTGACGTGCATAAAAAATTGCATCTGTTGGTCAGAGGCTTTTGAGTTACCCAATGAACTTCTTGGTTTTACAGCAGAACCTAACCAGTGGTTATCTCTCACAGAAGTAATGAAAGCCTGGATTAAAAGGTCTATCACAAATTTACCTAGCCACCAGATATTATGTGATCCGGATGTGGAAAAGAGGGGTTCCCTCCAGATTGCACCTACAAAGAAAAAGTAGTTTTATTTATGAAATGAGCAGCATGAATGGTAAGATTTAGGACAACTCTCACATATCCTATCAGATATGGGCCCCATTGATTGTGCTTTCTAGCTTGGCAAAAACAGCTAGTATTGGGGAATGGTATCAAATGTTGGATCACCTATTCACCAATACCACAAGGAGGGAACTGGAGAGAAGGAGTATTGACAAGTCTACAGGTCGAGCACTAACTCGTATCATAAGCCATCAGTGGAAGCTCATACCAATTTAACCAGACTGTTTCCATTACTTGGTAAAAAGGAAATACTTTCAATAAAACTTATTTATTTAAACAGGCTTATTCATAGATAATGGTCAGACAAATACATTTGAATATAAAAAGAAAAAGCCAGAGAATTGGATAAATAAAAAAGTCACCACAATTAAATGTAATTAAAAAATGTAACCCTGAGGGGCAGAGCATAGCAGCCAAGCTGACTGGTCGCATACTTTGTGAGCTCCATGCAGACTGGCTCTAAAACAGCTAGTATTACACATTATTGCCGTGAATTTACTAAGTGGAGAGACAGACACTGCATCTCACCTACTTATGTTCCTGACCGAGACCGGCGGCATTCTCCAGAGGTGGAACTGGGGCCTACCAGAGGCCTACTAACAGTGACCGCGAGGGAGGCGGCCGATCCCTCAACTCGTTGCCACACACCTCATACGGAGACCTAACTTGTACTCTCCACCCCACCCTCCTTGCCAGTGAGGGTTATCCCGGCACCTTCTATCCGTGCCTCATTGGAATCGCTATTGCGATTACCCATCTGTAGCAGCCAACCTGCAGTAACAAAGACTCCAGCACCCCGGGGCACGCAAATGACCATCTTAGAAAAGCTGGACTCCCTATTTGAGATCTTCTGGTCCAAGCTGACCCGTCACCTGCACACACCTGCTGAAGTGCCACAGGCACCATCCTTACATCACACTATTGCGACCTCGAGACGACGCCCTGGCGCAGCACACAAAGCCGGGAAACAGAGGCGGTTTATGCGGCAATCACTTCGCCACAGAAGAGCCGGACCGGCACCAACCCGCTTACTATTATGCCGCTACTAGCCTCTATGTATAAATCTGCACAACAAAAAATAATGGATTTTGTTTAAAAAATCAATACAATATTACTTCTAATAAAAAGACAAACTTAAAATAATTATTAGTTCAGAATCAGAGGTCAAAAGAGAAAAATTTATAAAAATACTAAGATAAAACGTTGAATGAGAATAAAATTTAGCAAGAAAGAAATTGTTTTTAATTAAAAAGCCACAATGTATCCAAAATGGATATTCATATCCTCATAGGAAACAAACCATGTCAAAGTCTACATTTAGTCCTTGTGGCTGCATGGTTTTTAGGGTGTATATCCAAAACCCTCTCTCTGTCTCAGTTTAGTGACCAAATCACCTCCTCTTTCATCAAGTGAAATGTTTTCTAATCCTACATAAGAGAAATTGACTTTTTGACATTTGTTGCAATGTAGTGGCACTGAATGTGTAATTAATTTATTTTTCATATTGTTCCAATGCTCTAAAAATCTCTTTTTGAAGGGGTCTGGTTGTCCTACCGGTGTATTGTACCCAGCATTCACATGTTAATAGATACACCACATGCGTGGTATTACATGCTATTTGGTCCTTGATCTTAAATGACTCACCAGTAACATAGCTCTTAAAACGATCAGTTTTTTTGTGAGGTATATTGGCAACTTTTGCATAACCCGCACATATAGAAACCTTTATTAAAAGATTATTTTTTAGAGGAATTTCTATATGTGCTTGGTGCTAAAATATTTGTAAAATCTCATCTTCTAACAAAAGAGGCTAGTGCTTTTTCAAGATTTTCTTAATTTTTAAGGCATGGGCATCATACTGTGTATTAAAAGTGAAAGCAAATGTATTATTCGTGACAACGGGGTTAGGTTCCTTGTCTATTAAAAAATCATTTCTTTTCATATATAAAACAGGTGAAACTTCTTTATCAATGATAATCTCTGTATAGCCCTTTTCCATAAATTTACTTTTTAAGAGCTTGCTCTAACAAAACAATCTTGATCTGTGCAGTTTCTTCATAATCTAGTCAGTTGGCTACAGGGTACTCCCCGGAGCCAAGTAGGGTGTAACTGTTGGCATTTGTGGGTTTTAGTTCTTAATATAAATTGTAAGATCTAGAAAATGAATCTTGTTTAAATTAATAGTATGATTAAAAACTAATGATAATTGATTATCATTAATTAAGGCAATACAATTATTTAGATTATATACTGTGCCCTTCCAAATTGTTAAAATGTCATCAATATAACTTCTCCAAAGCACCAAGTGTGTGCCAAAAGTGTTTTTGGACCAAATATGATTTGTTTCCCAATAATCTAAAAATAAATTGGCATCGCTTGGTGCGAACTTGGTGCCCATTGTAATTCCTTGTAACTGGAGAAAGAAGTCACCATTAAAAAAGAAAATAATTGTGTGTCAAGATAAAATGAATACCATCTACTAAAAATCTATTAATATCTGTAGAGATATCCCTGTCTAAAACCGTTTTGACTGCCAGGAGGCCTAAACTAAACTATGTTCAGAAAAGGGAGGGATTCCCACTATCATCACCTGCAGACCTTGATGCACTGTACCTAGGGCTGGTAAATCCTGAAGGGATCGAAACGTTGCTTTATCTGTCATGTTTTTTTCAATAAATCTGCTGATGTATGAAGACCCTGAGTGCCTGGACTACTTTGCTGTTACTAGAGTGGTGTAGAGTGATGTGACATCTTTATTAAGCTAACACCACAGAGCACAAACCATTAATATATAGGGTATCTCATTAACAATAAATACAAATTAACAACCAATCAATATACAAAATTGTGTATTCTAGCAAATACAATTGCAAAATAACCCTACAAGGTATCATATTATATTGTTGATCACAATGCATGTACATAAGCCCCTTACTAAAAAATGTACACAAGAATTAGGTTTTAGATGTTAGATTCAAATGGAATTTACCCCTAGTAATTCAAAAGTTACTTACATTTATTGCATGCTAAAAACAGAGGTAACTAACAATCCATCCAAGTGGGTATAATTACTTGATAATTACCTAATCATGCTAAGTTTCATTACATCTTCCATTTACGGAGAATTCCTGCCTCCTTAATACAAGGTCTTCAAGTGTCCAAAATTAATCTACCTCTGCAAATTGTGGAGTGCCCACAGAAGCCTTTGAGGGTCAAAACAGTTGAGAATGCGATCAAAACATGGCAAAAAGCTATTTAAATAGGACTTGTAATAAAAGACTATCAGCAAACTGGTCACAGATGCATGCACAGTCATCCACAAAATAAAAATACGATATTATACTAATATAGGTTACAAATTTTACTTTCAAAAGAAAAACACTATTACATTTAAAAAAATATATGGTAGCATTTTTTGCTACTATATGTAAATATGCTCTGAATATAAACCTGGCGTATGTTGAAACCTTTTTGGCTAGGAACTTATAATTATAACTTTTTTAAATGTTAAATGTGGATCCTTTGTAAATGGATATTCCTATAAAGTGTTTTTAGTATTTTTTTAAAAGTAACATTTGTAACCTATATTAGTATAATATTGTATTTTTTATTTATTTTGTGGATGGCTCTGCATGCATCTGTGACCAGTTTGCAGTTTGTACTACATTAACATGGTGTTTAATTCTCGATTAAAAATCTGATTGGTGTTAGATACAATTTTTTTCTAAGTTACTTTGTCCCCCAAGAGTCTATCTGATTCTTTAAATAAAATTCAGTGGACATAACAAAAATTCCTCCCCCTTTGTCCGCACTCTTTATTACAAAATCCTTTCTATTTTTCAGTTGTTTTAATTCTCAAGTTTAAGGTCAAGAATGCTGATATCTCTATTGACCATTTTTAAAAAATGCTTCTATTTGGTGTATTTTCTCATTTGGACAGAAAGTAGACTTGAGTTTAAAAATTTGGTTGGTTGCATTTATGTCTCTATAAGACAAAAAGATTTCCACAGTGGTAATGCATGCTCAAAACAGTCCCGTGGGGGATTCCCTTAACCGACACCTTAATAATAACGAAAGCTGACACAAATAGGGATGGAGCACAATTCGCTAAAATAATATACATACATATATTCGATGTATAGTGAGGTAGATGCAGGTTCTAGAGGGAAAAACATAAAAGTAACTAATAGTGCATATAAATAAACAGGTAAAATAGGAAAAAGGCTAATTGGAAGCACTCACAAAGGTGCTCAAAAAAAGTAACTTGGCTCTGGATCAGGATGCGAGATGGCGTTAAAAAAGATCAGGACGAGAGATGGCGTTAAAGAAGCGCTGGAACGCAAATTGCGTTCCATTTGAAACAAAGATGCGAGGATCTGACATCACAACATATCTCAGATGAAAGAAGGAGGAAATACGTCAGTGGAAGCGCCGACAGACATTTGGAACACAGGTTGTGTTCCACCAACTCCAAAAAGCCCGGGAACTTAGAAATAACCACCTATTTAAAGATACTCCACACGGACACTTCCTACTTTTCCAACTGAAGAAGCCTGAACTGGCAAAATGCGTCTTGGATGCTTATTTATTGCAAGGACCCCTGTTGAGTTTTTACTTTTGTTTTTATCTTAATATTTTATTTCCACTTTTGATTCAAATAAATAGTTTATATTCCACTTGCGAAGTGTCATACCATCATCTTTGGAATCGGTCTATACACAGAGGGTGCTGGATCTCTATTTAAAGATCCACAGGCGCTAAACACCAGAACCAAGTGCATTTTTTTGGCTCCACCAGTGTTAGTGTTTCCAGTTACTCTTTTTCCTGTTTTACCTGTTAAAATGGATCTGCACTATTAGTTTATTTTATGTTTTTCCCTCTAGAACCTGCATCTACCTCAATATACATCGAATATATGTATGTATGTTATTTTAGAGAATTGTGCTCCATCCCTATTTGTGGTAGCTTTTGTATTTTAAAAAAACCTTATTTTTTCTAAAAACCTCTATAAAGACATCTTCTGAACAAATGTATTTAACCCCTTAACGCCATTACGGCGTTCTATGCCGTCCTGCATTAAAAGGGCTTTAAAGCCGTTGCAGCGGCATAGAACGCCGTAATGGCTGAAGCCCCCAGGAGTTTGGAAGGTACTTACCTCCGCCGCGATCCTCTTCTGTAGGGTTGCCTGACAGCCCAGGCAGCCCTCCCCGGCAATTGAGGCCCCCAGGGGCCATGTGATTGTTCTGAAAGAGCGATCACATGGCCCCCTATAGCTGGCTGTGGATCTGCCAGCAGGGGGACTGTCTGAAATGTCAGACTGCGTCCTGCTGGTAGGAAAGTAAAAAAAAAAAAAAAAAAGAATTAAACATGTTTAAAATAAAATAGAAATGTATTTATATATATAATATATGTATATCTATTATATATATAATAGATATACATATTATATATATGTAACGTCATACAAAGTGTATTTTAATATTAATATAAGTACATATATTAGTATTAAAATACACTTAGAATGAAGTTGCATGATATATATATAATAGATATATACACATATAATATATGCATATATACGTATAATTACAATAATAAATAAATAAAATAAATAAATAAAATATTGAAACAAAATTTAATATAAATTATATATTCATATGTAATTTCATTCTAACTGTATTTTGTTACTAATATATATATATATTGGTAACAAAATACAATTACAATTACATTCTATATATATCTATCTATACATAAAATACAAATAACCGCAAATTTATATATATATAAATACATGTAATTACATAAAAGATTACATTAGTATACACGTGGAATTTAAATACCTATAAATGCATATATATTAAAATTCTACGTGTATATTTAAGTAATCTTTTAACATAATTATGTGATTTGATTAATTCAAATTTGATTGACATGCCTGACAACACGGGGAGAAAGTGCAGAGAATTTAATTCACAAGCACTATATTTGACCCTGTAACTCTCCAAGACACCATAAAACCTGTACATAGGGGGTATTGTTTTACTCGGGAGACTTCGCTGAACTGAAATATTAGTGTTTCAAACTGGTAAATCGTATTACAATGATGATATTTTACGTAAAAGTGATGTTTTTTGCACTTTTTACAAACAAACGGCACTTTTATGGACTAAATTATTGTTGTAATATGTTTTACTGTTTTAAAACAATAATATTTGTGTTTAGTGAAGTATCCTGAGAATAACAGTACCCCCGTGTACAGGTTTTATGGTGTTTTGGAAAGTTAGAGAGTCACATATAAGGCTTGCATTTCATTTTTTTTTTACATTGATATTTGCCAGATTGGTTATGTTGCCTTTGAGAGCGTATGGTGGCCCAGGAATGAGAATTACCCCCATGATGGCATATCATTTGCAAAAGTAGACAACCCAAAGTATTGCAAGTGGGGTATGTCCAGTCTTTCTGAGTAGCCACTTAGTCACAAACACTGGCCAAATATTAGTTTTTTGCTTTTTTCACACAAAAACAAATATAAACGCTAACTTTGGCCAGTGTTTGTGACTAAGTGGCTACTAAAAAAGACTAAACATACCCCACGTTCAATACCTTGGATTGTCTACTTTTTCAAATGGTATGCCATTATGGGGGTAATTCTCATTCCTGGGCTACCACACCATCTCAAAGGTAACATTACTAATCTGGCAAATTTCAATTTGAAAATGGAACGTTCTATAT